ACATACTGTTTCAATGATCAATGTGTATGCAGATTTTCCATATACAATACTTGCACGTGGCATTTTTTTATGCCTCTGTCGAGGAGAACTTTGGTGGAACACACTTTTCAAAGCTTTCATCTTTATTCGGGAGCCTCAAGTTCATACGGTTAAATAGAGGAGAGAGCAATAGCATCATGGGAAAGTAGAAACAAACTAGAGGGATTAGGAATTCCACAGATACAACAAATGTGGAAAGTATGTAACATAGCACAGGCAATTATAACTCAATCGGATACTGCAAAGAATCAAATATGGTATAAAATCGAGCAAAGTTTATATAATGAAGGTAAAGAGGAAGAGCTATGTTCTCTGTTTTGGAAAACGAATAGTAAATACAAACATAGACAGAGATTTGAATCTAACAGTTTAATTTCCCAGCCCATATTAATTTTTTGAAAAATTGATTGTACCAATGTCAGCCAGCTTTCTGGGCAGTGCGAAAAAGATAGACCCACTTTGGATATATATAAAACCTAATCATGTTGATTCTCCCCCACCAAGATGCCTCCACTCCCTCATTTCTTTTAACAGATTTAACACATTGTGTTCCATCATTCTAGTTGGCTCATTAGTAATCTCTATACCCAAACATTCTATAGAATTTTTATTACAATCAAATCCAAATTTATCAAATAATTTGCCTTTAAGAATTTGTGTCAAATTAAACGGGAGCGCTACAGACTTGTTTAAATTTAATTTATATCCTGAATATAAAGAAAACTCTCCTATGGTGTCCATTACCTTTTCCATGGATATTAGAGGGTCGGTCAACATGAGTATCACGTCATCCGCATACATTGTAAGTTTTATTGACTCTCCCGCAATCTCTACTCCTTTAATAGACTTATTATCTCTTATTTTATTCGCTAGAGGTTTTATAGTCATTAAATATAACAAAGGGGACAATGGGCATCCCTGCCTTGTGCCATTCGTCAACTGAAACCAATCAGAAAGAAAACCATTTCCCTACTACTCTAGCCGTTGGGTGTGTATACAGGGCCATTATAGCCCTAGTAATATTACTCTGTAATCCAAAACCATAAAGTGCATTCTCAAGGAAATCCCACATTACCCTGTCAAATGCCTTTTCGGCATCTAATGACAGAGCAAGGAGGGACAAATTCCTTTTTGTTGACAAATCTGCCAAATCCTTATATTAAATATTGGTGACCTACTGGCTATGAATCCCACTTGATCTTGATTAATAATTGTAGGTATAATCATAGCAATCCTAGCCGCTAAAACTTTTGAATAAATTTTTATTTCGCTATTTAACAGCGAAATAGGTCTATAATTTGTTACTAACTACATTTTTTGGGGGGGGTTTTGGGATGGGCACTATATGAGCTTTCAGCATCTCTTTAGGAATATCTCCATGATTCATAAAGTAGTTAAACAAATCTGTAAGTGGTTCAACGATATTTTTCTCAAAGGTTCTAAAAAAAAACAATTACTAAAACCATCTTTCTTTGCTTTTAACTTTTTAAGAGCTACTCCGACTTCTGTTAACAAAATAGGTTCATTTAATAATGTAAATTGTCCATCTGATATCTTAGGAAGCTTAAGTTGTAGAAAAAAAATCAGACATTTTAATAACCCCATTTCTCTCTGGTAAGTTAAATAATCCTAAATAGTACTCCTGGAATGCTTTAGCAATCTTATCCAGTAACAGAATCAATTCTTCTCCTTTTTTTATTTTGGAAATAATTTTTTAAATTTTTTTAATCTGTTTGTTAATAATTTATGCGCTTTGTTCACTTTATAGTACCAATTTATTTTTAAGCGTTCCAAGGCTAAATTAGACTTTTAAATCAAAATAGTATTAATTATCTCTCTTGTTTCTTTTAATTCTTCACTTACCGGTACTTTTATCGTAGGATTATTTTTGTTCTTTTTTTCCAGTGCATCATATTTAACATACAATTGTGCTAAATTCTGTGAATTTTTTCTTTTTTCTTCTGATCCTAATTTTATAAATTGACCCCTAATTGTACATTTAAATGCACACTATCTCTGAACTCTTATTTTCTTTAAAAAATAGTTATCTATAGCTTTATTTATAATAACCACATTTTGATTTTGTTAACAATTGTTCGCTCAATCTCCAATTATATCTAGTTTTAATAAAGTCATCTTTAATGACCATAATGAATGCATTGTGGTCTGACCAAGGGATATTAGTAATTAGTATCTTTTTAACCAAACTCACAGTATTTATCTCTGTCAAAATGTAATCTATCCTGGAATAAACTTGATGTGGATGAGAAAAACACGTGAAATCTTTTTCTGTAGGATGCCATATATCTAAAACACTGGATTTCCTTATTATTTCATTGAACCCTAAAGACGTTTGTTTTAAGTATCCTTTATTCTCCTTATTACCCAATTTATTTCTATCCAAGACGGGATCCACTATACAGTTGAAATCTGTCACATCCTGCTCTGTTCTGCGCAGATGTCTGGCCTTGGATTCTGGTATACAGTACTCTTTTTACTATTCTTGTTTAGTTTTTCTTGGTTTTTCTGGTTTTCTATTCCATGTCTGGTTTTCTTTATGCTGGGTTTTCTGGATTCATTCCTGTATTCTGTTCCTGGAATTCCCAGTCTCCTGGATTCCTTTATATGTTTGTTTTATGTTGCCACACCCGTTCCTTTTCCATGAATCTTTTTGTTTCAGTTGTTTCCTGCAGGCAGTTGCTACAAGTCCTCTGCCCTTTTCTTGCAGGTAAGTGCTGTGTGTGTTTTATTATTGTTTATTTAGTCATGCATATCTAGGTAGTTTCCCACCTTAATTGGAGTACTTTGCCGCAGTTGGTGGGCTGCATACATATTGGCCATTTATGTATGTCTAAATCTCCAATGTTTTACATATATAGTACTTAGTTTTGTCTCCTCTTGTTTTGCCTTGTATCTCTTGTCTTGATTTATTTTGTCTTGTATTCCCAGTTCATGTACAGTCCTGTCCTGCCCTGTTCTTGTTTTCCTCATGTCTTGTGTACATGTTCTGGGTTCTGCTTTCTGTCCTGCTCCGGTTCTGGGTTCTCCTAGTTTTGTATTGTTTTCTTGTTTGGTGTCTATTCTAGTCTTGCCCTGTTTCTGTACTGGATACATACCTGCTGCAGAGCCTCCCTATCCAGTTCCTGGGAGGTCTGCATATTATCGTCTGGTACCTGATATCCGCAGTAGCTGCATCAGGGCCCTGGTATGTGGCTGCACAAACGCTGGTGCTCAACACCATGGGGCGTGTGGTTACCCTGCACCAGGAACTGATAATCCATTTCCACACAGTGACTCCTAATATCAAGATCAGGCATACTGGGTCCCGGGCTCCAGACCGCCACCCTTGACAAAATCTCCAAGATATATTATTTTGCCCTGTTTAATCCTGTCGATGCTGACCACCATTTTATTCAAAAACCTTATAGGAGCCTTGTTTGGCGCAAATAAATTTACTATAGTATATATTTGATTATAAAGCTCACATATTAATATATGAAATCTTCACTATCGGATTCTTGATAAATTAATTTAAAGGCTACCTTTGACGATATTATGGTTGCTACACCTCTTTTTTTCTTTTTAAGCATAGAATATTTAAATAAATTATTTTGGGTTAAAGGGACACTCCAGGCAGCCAGACCACTTCTGCCCATTGGAGTGGTCTGGGTGCCAACTCCCACTACCCTTAACCCTGCAACTGTAAATATTGCAGTTTTCACAAACAGCAATATTTACATTGCAGTGTTAACTCCTCCTCTAGTGGGCACTTTCTGGTTTATGGCACTATGTGAGGACCTCCAGCGTCGCTAAATTCCCCATAGGAAAGCATTGAAAGCATCTTTCAATGCTTTCCTATGGGGAGGTCTAATCTGCGTGTGCGGCATTGCTGCGCATGCTCATTAGGTCTCCCCCGCCGCCAGCCGCGCATGCGCAATAGGTCTTCCTTCCCTTCCTCGTTCAATTTACTTGTATTTAAATGTAGGTGACTTTTCTTTCTTTACCATATTTAACTATATTTCACATTTTTATCCTATACAGTCATATTGTGTGTTAACAGTATACCACCTTTTATATATTACTTTATATGGCGTTTGTATATGCCTCCCCTTATCTTAAATGTATATCATTATAATTCCTTTACACCCATATCATAACTCTTATTTAATTTTTCTAATTTTTCTTTCAGTGAGCTGTGAACTTGGGTTACAATGTGCCCCCTAAATTTATTCCTCTATTGTATATTATTTGTGAGTGAAATTTTCTTACTTTTCTCTACTAAACCTTATATCAATTACTTATCATGCTCCTTACTATTATATTAACTATTTATTTCTTCTAGTACATTAATAACACTTGTGCCTTACTCCTCTTATAAGTATGTGTCATCACAATTCCTGTATGTGTCATCACAATTAGTGGTCTTATTTATATATTTATATATTACCCAGTCAACCCTCTTTTAAAGGACGAGAAGGGGAAGAGGAAGAAAAAAAAACCCCACACAATGGAGGATGCCATATTATACCGGAGTCCCTTTTCTCTGTCCCTCAGAAGGGGGGAGAAGGGAAAGGGAGTCCGGCATTACCTTAGAGCTCCCCTCACTTTATATTCTCCTGTATCCATAACTGCAAACTTTGTACATCTTTAAAAGTTTCAGTTTTGTCTCTGAAAGACAGTCTTAATGCCACAGGGAATATCCAGGTGTAATATATTCCTTGATTCCTTAATCTGAGAGTGCGTTGTGGAAAGTTATTTCTGGTCGTTCTCGTGCTTTTGGATAAATCATTAAATATTTTAATTGCTTCATATTTTGAATCTTGTAATGACTTAGATCTCATTAACGTAATAACTTCTTGTTTGAATCTATAGGAGTGTAAAGATGCAATTACATCTCTCGGGGCGTGTGCCGGAATATTACTGACATTTGGAATTCTATAGATCCTTTCAGTTCAATATGCTCAATTATCCTGTTGTACACCCAGAAATTTAAAAATATATTTTAAGTAGTTGTCCAAATTTCCTGATGTCACTTCTTCTTGAATTCCTCTTATTCTGATTTTATTTCTCCTCGCTCTATCCTCGTTATCAGTGATTTTAGCTTCTAATGTAGTGATTTTCTTTTCCATATTCAACATTTTTTCCTCCTGTACACCATGTTGTACTATTGAATATTCAATTTTATCTTCCAGTGCAGTCACTTTTGCTGTTATTTTAGATATCTGCATCTTGAAGTTGTCCATCATCAGATGCATTTCCTTCTTTATATTTTCTAATTGTATTTGCAGACATGCGTTTAGGTATTCTTTTCCAATAAATTGTGAATCCTTAGAAGAACTCTCGATGCATTCTTTCTCATTATTTCTCTGTGTTGAGGACTGTGCCTTATCCTCGTTGTAGATCTCTATTTCATGTAAACTTACTCTCTTCTCCATTTTCTCCTTTTCTTGGGGTGAAAAATAGTTTGACAATCGTGTCTCAATTTTCTGATCTACCTTTTTTTCTCTTTTATTTCCCTTTTCTTAGTTGCCATTTTCGTTCACCCATATATGTATATCTTAGGAAAAAAAGAGAAGAGAAAAAATAAATAAGCTGTAAGTGTTATTATTGGATAGTGGGAGTGTTTAGGAACATCTGCAACTCAACCTCAAAGTGAAAGATCATGTAAAGTCACAAAGGTGGTTCACTAGGTGCTGAGATGCATGGTGTGTAAAAGTCGCCAACGCTCTGATGATTCCACAGCTGAAATGTTCCAAACTCCCACTGGCATTAATATCAGCACAAAAACTGTGGCCAGATCTTCGTGGAATGGGTTTTCATGGCCGAGCAGTTGTATGCAAGCCTCACATTATCAAGTACAATGCAAAGCTTTACACTGGCATTGGTGGTGTGAAGCTATCTGCCACTGGACTCTTGAGCAGTGGCAAAGTGTCCTGTGGAGTAACAAATCACGCTTCAATTTGACAGTCAGATGAGTGAGTCTGGGTTTGGTGAATGCCATGACAATATTACCTGCCTGACTGCATTGTGCCAACTGTAAAGGAGGTGGGTGGAGGAGGGACAATGGAATGGGACTGGTTCTCAGGGGTTGGGCTAGACTCCTTACTTCCAGTGAGAGGAAATCTTAATGCTTTGCCTATGTAGCCAAAAGTCCTTGCACCAGCCCTGAGTGAATGTAGGGCTAGGAGTATAACTGCACTTAATTTTAATTATTTACTGTATTTATCAAAACTATGTGCTTGAAGACATGGACAGGGGTTATTCCTGCAAGACATCCAATGCAAAGAGTTTACATTGTAATAGTAATTGGTCTCATTAAGTTATGATGTTGACTATATTGTAAATTGGTTTTATTTTGTTTCATTTTCCCCGCACAGAGTGTGTCTGAGGTAGACTATTCATAAGATTATGCCAATAGCCTTTACTTTAGCCTAATATTTGCCTGAGGCCCAGTGGGTGATAAGTGGGCAAAAAATAGTCTTTTCTCTTTCTCCACCCGGGGGCTAGTGAGAAAGCCCCAGCCCACTAGAACACTGATTGAAGGATCGGTTATCCCTGTATAGCTACATGATCTATTGGATCCACAAAACCTATGATCCGACAAGATATCTACAGATCAATATTCATTTTCCCTTTCTAGGGGAACAATACTATCAGATGAAGAAACACAGGTTTAATGTTTTAAGTTTGATTTAAGTGATATTTTACCTCTTTGTGTGCAGGTTTGCTAATTTTATTAACATGGATTAGATAAAATTATGACCATGCACTATTATACTAGCTTCATATAATAATATTTTTAAAATATGCACTCTAATCGTACTATAGCACTAGTTATAGTGCTAGTAGGTTGCATTTGCCATTCCCTGATCATAGGACATACTGCTGTGCTTAGGCTGCCCCTGTAAACTTGTATAATAGGATACTAATATAATGATCCAAATGCATTACTTTATTAAGTACACACAGACATGTAGTATCCCTCACAAGATCAGAGCCCATCACTAGCTCACCATTCATAAAACTGAATAAAAAAGTATGCACTTTTTTCACTGTGTTGTATAAAAAGGCAGCCAGTGAAAGGGAGTTACTTTTTTTCCCTCTGAGAAAGAGAGTTACTTTAATATATACACCTCTTATATGTATGACGCTCACCTACATAATTATATAATTTTTAATGTATGATAAATACATATTTTAGTAGACACCCCATTTGTACTTTATTCCTACATTTGCACCAATATATGTATAAATATAGGATAATTCTAATTAAAATTGAGAAGATAATCCTTTTCAGCTTTTAATTATAACGATTTTGATCAAATTGACTCACGCTGCCTGCAACTCATTGGAAAGCATATTATTTTTTAGTCATTAGTTGATATATGACATGCCATATTATTTATTAAGCTATAAGACCCTTGCAAGAAATGTTTAGAATCATATTTGATAGAATTGAATGATCAGGAAGTGGTGTTTAACATCTGGGCTGCAGCTGCTTCTTGCAGACTAAATAAATAAATACTCAATCCCTCTTTTTCATTAATATTATTATTCTCGCCATTAATATACAATATTATTAGAGGGAGGATTTAACTATAAATAGGACAATTACAACAGAAACTTACAGGAACGATAGGTTGAAGAGGACCCTGCTCATACGAGCTTACAGTCTTTAGGAGGTGGGGTATAACACACATAACGACAGGAAATAGCAATCAAAATAGGTGGGAGTGAAGCAGAGATGGAGGATAGAGTAGAATGCTGCCCTTTAAGAGAGAGCAAGAGACAGGTATGTGAGGTAGAGGTTAGTCTGGGAGGTCATAAGCTTTCCTCAAGAGATGGGTTTTAAGGCTCTTCCTAAATGATTGAAGACTAGGGGAGATGGCGATGGGCAGGCTACTCCATAGGAAGGGAGCAGCCCGTGAGAAGTCCTGCAATTACGAGTTAGCCATACGGGTGCGAGCAGTGGACAGGAGAAAGTCATGGGCAGAGTGAAGTGACCGAGAAGGGGCATACCTATGGATCTGTAATGAGATATAAGAGGGGCTAGAATTGTTCAGTGCTTTATATGTATGGGTTAGCACTTTGAATTGACTCCTATAGGATACAGGAAGCCAATGTAAGGATTGACAGAGGTGTGAGGTGTGAGAGGACCGACTAGAGAGGAAAATCAGTCTGGCGGCAGCATTCATTACAGGCTGTAGAGAGGCAATATTTCTTTTGGGAAGACAAATCAGGAGAAGGTTACAATAATCCATGCGGGAACTTACAAGAGCATGGACAAGCTCCTTGGTAGTATCTTGTGTAAGAAAGGGCCAGATGAAGGCTATGTTCTTAAGATGGAATCTACAGGATTTGGCAACATACTGGATGTGAGGTGAGGCCACTTTTGACAATGATGTCTATGTGAAAAACAACTACAGGGTTAATTACTGAACACCAAATGGCCGAATTACGGGCAGTTTGATAATTCTCACATTTACTAAAGCCGAATCCAATTGCAATTCGGTCTTCTGGTGTCTGGTTTAAAATCTGTGTTTTTTTAATCCAAATCATATAGGAAGTATAGCGTCTGAAAAATTTGCAAAGCATGGATTTTAAGCAAGATTATCATTGATTTACTTATTGTAAGCCAACAATGCTTATCTGTAGTATTTTTCCACATGCAGCACTTGCAGCCAACAGGTAAATAATCAAGAAACCCTTAACTAGAGTTGTGAGGGTTAACCAACATGGTGGCAGGCAGGGGACTGGCCATCGGGCAAATGCCAGGTGGGCCATGATGGCCATGAACCGAGGCCGGCACTGGAGATCAGAGGCCCATAGGCTGTAAAATGTTGCAGCCAGGGAAAGGAGGACCAGGGAGCTTTAGTCTGCGGCTCCGCCGGGTCAATCCTTGCTTGAGGTTGGAGTGTAGCCACGGTCACCATGGCAATGCTTCGATCTAGCGAGGGTGAACTCTAGCCCCAGGCACTGCAGGATAGAGTTCTATCCCCACTAGGACCACCAGAGATTGCAGCAAGGCCCCCCTCCCTGGACAAAGGTAAGAAGGGGGGAGGGTAAAACACTTGATTTTATTCATACACACACACTGCACCCCTCTCACACACACACAGAGCACACCCTTCACACACACTGCAGCCTCTCACCCGGCACTCTCTCCCACACACACACACTGTACCTCTCACACACAGCACCCTCTCACCCAGCACTGCACCCCTCACACACACACACACACACACAGCAGCCCCCCCCCACACACACACACACCACCACCCTTTAACCCAGCATACACATACACTGCACCACACACACACAGCTCCCTATCACCCAGCATACACATACACTGCCCCACACACATACAGCACCCAGGGATATATCTTCCGCGAGTATACACTCTGAATCCTCTACACACACACACACACACTGCATCACCTAAAATACACACTCTGGATTCCCTATGCAAACACTAGATGCTCTGTAAGAAAACACATACTACATTCCATGAACAAACACACTCTCTACAACCCCTACACACTACATAACCTACACACATACACTCCTATACCCGTGCTTTCTCACTCTTTCAGCCCCTAGCCACACATACAACACGACAAACACAAGTGAAACCAATCTATTTACACAATACCACACCACAATCAGCTCACTCTACACACACGCAATCCCACGAGCAGGCTCCAAACACATGCACAATATGCTTTCCTGGCCCTTTTGTCTTCTGGTATCCCACTTAAAACAAAACAAAACAAAAAAAACATTTGTTACCTGGTAACTAACAAGGTCCTGTCCCATGGGCCAGGGTTGAATCCGTCACTTGTCCTCACAAGCTCCCACCCATGGGCATCAGGTGGAAAATACTACTATATAAATCCACGAAAGGGTGGAGTGGATACTACAACTATACAGGCCTGGACTGGCCATCGGGCAAATGTCCGGTGGAACGCGATGGCCATGGGCCGAGGCCAGCCGGGGAGATCGCAGGCCCTCCCCGCCAATCCATGCAGAGCCAGCGCTATCTGAGCGCAGGCCCTGCTGTCTTCCATGATGGGCTGGTGGGGGATTTCCCTCACCGGCCTACATGCTGTGTATTGCAGCCGCCGGCGGGGGAGAGGTCCCAGATGAGTTCTATCTTGCAGCTCAAAGATCTCCCTCACTGGCCCACATGTAGTGTATTGCAGCCACCAGCGGAGGAGAGAACCTGCAGGAGCTCTATCTTGCAACTCCGCTGGGTTCCTTACACGAGATCAGGAACGTTGCCATGGCAATGCTCCAGGTCTCGCGAGAGTGAACTCTAGCCCCACAGGCTAGAGTTTACTCAGCACTAGGACCACCAGGGATGGATGGCAGCACAGCCCCCTCTCCCAGGCTAAAGGTAAGAAGGGAGGGGGGGATATAATTATAAAAAAAATAT